AGACTACACTGTGATGCTGCTATCAGACACAGGAACTTAAGAGAAGAACAACTTAGGGTTATTCACGAGGAAGACGTCATTCAGTTCAGCTTCAGACATGATGAGAGTCATTGTTTCTTGGGACTCTTGCAGCTAATAGCACAAACTGGCTAGATTAAGACCACAGATATTTATTGATTCACAGTGCTTGTATCAGCTATTCTTGACTACATCGGGAATTAACTAAACCCAAGCAGATGAGTACACCTGTGAGAGATTTTTCTTGATTGAATTATTTGAAGGGTGAAGACCCACCTTAAATCCAGATTTTTGTTGTTGGTGGTGTTGTTTTGAGGTGGGAAAATCCACCTTAAACCTGGGCCACATCGTCGGCTGGCAGCCTATATAAAGGGCATGGAAGAAGAAAGCCCTTGCTCTTGGCCTGCTTGCCCTCACTCTCACTGGCAAGTGCATCCCTTCACTGGCATTGGAGCCTACTCCTTTAGGATTCCAATAGATACTGGAGACCAGCTGAGACATACTTCAGGGACTTTACAGCCTGAACAAGTACTTGATTCTTGAACTTTTTGTCACTAGATAGCCATTGTTGAATTAGTGAACCACAGCCTGTAACACACACACACACACACACACACACACACACACACACACACACACACACACACTTGCTCATTCTATCAGTTTTGTTCCTCTAAAGAACCTTGACTAATATAATTTAATGGAACCCGGAAGTCTTAGATCAAGCATTGCAAGGGTCAAGTTACCCCTGAAGCCTATAGGGAAGCTCTCTTTAGTTCTGCCTTTTGATGTTTGCTAACAGTGCTTGGCATTCCTTGGCTTGTAGCTTCCCCACAATGATGAACTGTACTCTGGAATTTTTAGGTTAAAAAAAAAAATCCCTTTCTCCCCTAAGAGAGGAGTTGATTTTTGTCAGGGCGTTTTACCACAGCAACAGAAACGAAACTAGAACAGACAGCTTCATGGGACAGTTCTTCTCCAGTGTGACCCCCTAGACCAGCGGTATCACATGGGCACGTGCTAGAAATTCAAATTCTTGGGTCCCACCCAGAACTACCAAGACCACAGAAATGTGGGTCCAGCCAGGAGCCCAGGGTCTGTGCTGCAGCAAACCCTCTGATTGGTTCTGGTATGCGCATGAGCAAGTGTGAAGGCTGCTGCTTCAGAAAATATTAAGCACTAACTCACAAGCTGAAGTGAAAAGTAGGAGGAATTTCTCTGGGTGGGAGAGTTCACAACAAATTTCTGCTTGGTGCTCAAGTCCAGGGCTTTGAAGATTATTTGTTCTCTAAATACAGAAGAGCAGGGTTTTAATTAGCAATGTGATTAAAGGTGGCAGAAGTTTAAGGCAATGCTATCTGATGACCTCTCTAATTAAGCTTATCTTAATATAATGTTAATCACAGGATAGATTAGTCTTCCCTCTGTTACTATAAGCAGGGTTAATGTTTTATTGGGAAAAGTATAATTGGGCCATAAGGTCATCCCTCTTGGTGAGATGGGTAGCATATCCTAGGAGGTGCATTAGTTGGATTTTATTAGTTACTTTTCATTACATGATAAAATACCTGAAATAAGCAATTTGAGCAGGAAAGGTTTGTTCTGTCTCACGGTTTAAAGAGGCATATAGTTCATCATGTGGGGAAGGCATGGTGGCAGGACCAGCGTGTGGCTGTTTATTCATGTCATGATGGATGAGGAAGCAAGAGAGACAGGAAGCAGGGTGGACTTATAGAATCTTAAGACCTGCCCCCCAGTGACCTACATCCTCCAGTGAGATCCCACTTTTTAAAATTCCAACAACTTCCCAAAATAGCGCCCTCAGCTGCGGGGGGTTGAGGGGTGTAAGTGTGTAACACATGAGACTATGAAGGATATCTCACATTCAAGCCGTAGCAAAGATGATCCTTCTAGGGACAGGAAGAACATGTTAGGGTTTATCATCAAAACATGACTGACAGAAGCGAAGGAAGGATAATCTTTAGTTTACAAACTGACTCTGGCACCCCCAGTCTTTTTGTGAGATTAATATACTTCTCTGGTTTCCCCCCACCCAAAAAAAAAGGTATCCAAGAGCAGCTGAGAGAGTTTGACAGGAGACCTCTCATTGGTTGTCAAATTCATTCTGTCACAGTGTATCTATCGTAGCTCATACTCAATATTGGACCACATTATCTATAGTCATTGTTTCCTAAACAGACAAGTGAAATTCCTGAAAAACAAACTTGAACTGAAATCTCATCTTCTTTGAGAAAGTAAAGAGGACAGAAGAGCTCGTGTCTATCCTCTGCCTGACCCAGGCACCTTAATTCAAGAAGGATGCTAGACCCTGTCACCTCCCCACTGTAGCCAGACAAGTCACCTTAGTGTTCTGTGCTGCAGTTTCCACTGTGTGAGAGTGGATGAGAGGAACACACACACACACACACACACACACACACACACACACACACACACACTTGCACAGGGATATTGTGAGAATTAAATAAGTTGATACTTCAAATATTTTTAAGTCAATGCCTAATATAGACGGCAGGCAAGGTATAAGTTTGCTGCAACAAAAGGCTGTGAGGACTGGAGGTGAAATGCTTGCCTCAACGCCTGGGAACCTGAGCCTGATACTCAGAACCCAGGTAAAAATGCCAGGCATGGTGGCACATGCTTGTTATCCAGGGACAGGAGGATGCCCAGAACATACTCATCCACCAGCCTACTCTAATTGCTAAATTCTAGGCCAATAAAAGTCCCTGTCTCAAAGGAAGTGGGTGGTATTCCTGAAAATGACTTCCAGTGCTATCCCCTAACTTATGTGCACACACACACACACACACACACACACACACACACACACATGCACACACACTTTAAATGATTTTAAGTTTTAATGAATTTTTAAGTTTTTTAACTTTCTTTTTATTTATTCTGTGTCTTTCACATCATGCATATCAATCCCATTCATCTCCCTGTCCCTTTGTATCTGCCCTCTGCCCTTGCAACCTCTACCCCCTCCAAGTAAAATAAAATTTAAGAGAAAATTTAAAGGGAGAGAGAAAAAAAGATCTCATCATGGAAGTTGTAGTGTGACACAGTGAGTCACACAGTAAACCCCTTTGTCCACATAGGGTTCCTTACAAGTGTTCATTGCAAAGGGTCATTGGTCTGGTTCAAGGCGTCTAGTTTCTGGTACCCTATTGATGTTGGGCCCTCACTGAGACTCATCGTGGGTCTCCTGCTGTTGCCCAGATCCCACAGTTTTGGGTCTGCAGGACAGGTCCCTTCACATGCTCCAGCAGAACATAGATGGGGTGGATGTTGGGGTGGGCCATCTCATGACTCTGGTTCTGGGCCCAGGGAGTTGCAGGGGTGGTCAATCCACCAGCTCTCCCCTGTCTTCAACACCAGGGTGAGCTCTCCAGCATTGCCCTGGCTAGTTCACCCTATGCAGCAAGGAGTGAGGGGCAGGACTGGTTCTCCTGTTTTCATGCTCTCAGGGCTGGTTCACCTACACAGACAGCAGCTCTACTGTGTTGCCCAGGTGAGATGCAGGGGCCACTCCCACAAGTCCTGCCGCTGGTGAGGGGCTAGGACAGCTCTCCTGCTCTTATGACCTCAGGGCCAGCTTTCCCAATTGCCATAGGCAACCGGGCGGTGGGGGGGGGGATCTCTCTCTTGACTATGCCACCTTATGGCAGATGAGGGGTGGGGCCAGATCTCCCACACTCACACCTTCGGGGGCATCTCCCCTCACCCCCATCAACAGGGTCAGCACTACTCTGTTGCGCAGGTGAGGTGCAGAGCCTGAGTGTTGTAGCTGCTAAGGGGCAGGGACAGTTCTCCCGCTCTTATGACCTCAGGACCAGCTCTCCCACTTGCCACAGGTGTGGAGGGGCAAGCGGGGGAGGGTATCTCTCCCTCACCCATGCCACCATATAGTAGATGAAGGGTGGAGTCAGATCTCCCATGCTCACATTCTCTAGTGGCTCTTCCCCTCCACCCCCGTCAGCAGGGTCAGCTCTACTGTACTCTTACCACCACAAGACAGATGAGGGAGGCGATATCAACTATCCCACACTCATTCTCTCAGGGCCAGCTCACTGGCAGCACCCCTGTCCACAGGGTCAGCTCTACTGGGTGTACCAGGTGAGGTACAGGGCCCGTTCTCATTCTCCTGAGTGCTGCCGCTGGTGAGGGGTTGGATCAGCTCCTCTGCCTGCCTCAGGTGGCAAGGGGAGAGGGGTGGAGGATATCTTTCCCTCACCCTCACCACCACATGGCAGATAAGGGGGTGGAACCCACTCTCCCATTCTCACACCCTCAGAGCCAGCTTGACCATGCTCCCTAGTACAGGGT